CTGCCACATTCTCCCCCATATTCCTGCATTCAATACAGACACCCCCATTCATTCCTGTTTGGAAAACAAGGTTTTGCTTCCTCCTTATTAAGGAGAAAACATCAATGTTTGCCTATAAATAGTGATTCAAATCAGACCTCAAACTTGACAAATACAACCATTACAGTCTTAGCTGCAGTTTAGGGTGTGTTTTCTCTTTGGGGGTTAACGTACACCTACCTCCTCATTTCTAGCACCTACTGGAAATAAGAACAGTGAAAAGTGAATCCTAGTAACTTAAACAGATCCTGGCTTAGTAAGCCCCTGGAGAGAAAAAGTAGAAATAAAACTTTACAGAGTACTATAGGTAATTCTAGGTAAGATTCTTCCTCCTTGTATGAGTGTATGTGTGATTTTTCAGAATCTCGGGTTTCTCTTAACCACATATTTAAAAAAGACTAGTCGTGTATTTTAAGTGTATATGATGCTTCTCAGTGAAATGAGAGAGGCAGTTTTCCATCTGGTTCTGTTATTTTAGATCCTTTAACTGTTCCTTTTCAAGAAGATAATAAAAACAAGTGCTCTTAGGTTCAATGCTTACTACATGCCAAGCACTGTGTGAATAAGCATATACACTGTAGCTTTTAGTCCTCATACTGCCCCCATGTGATAGATACTTAAGTCATATCTTGTGTGTTTAGTGGAGTAATCCTCTCACTAAAGAAGTCTATTGACTATGTTAAGGTTAGATAGGTTTATATATTTTTTTAAGATTTTATTTATTTATTTGAGAGAGAGAGAATGAGAGAGAGAAAGCACATGAGAGGGGGGAGGGTCAGAGGGAGAAGCAGACTCCCCGCCGAGCAGGGAGCCTGATGTGGGACTTGATCCAGAGACTCCAGGATCATGACCTGAGCTGAAGGCAGTCGCTTAAGCAACTGAGCCACCCAGGGGCCCGATAGGTTTAATATTAATGTGGAATGGAGTAAGTCCAATAGGCAAGCAGCAACACTTTCGATTTCTCCATTTGTTGCTTCACTACCTCCAGAGATCTGAATGGTTTGAATGCATAGACATCTATCAATGGATTTTCATTTTCTTCCTTCCTTTGATCTAATTGAGTGGTTCTGAAACATTGATGTATGTAAGAATTGCTGTACAGAGTTGCATAAAATCATTTTTACTGAACCTTATACTTTAGGAGCAATTTAAGAGATGTTCAAGGTGATTTTAACGATATATGATTTTTGCCTAATATGTTGGCTTTATGCTGAATCATCTGCAGGGAAATGACACATGACCAAGAGAGAAAAGAAGACGAGAGAAGAGAACCAAGGAGACTTCTACATAGGGTGAAAGAGTACCTATCAGTATACTGGACAATCTGAGGTCGAGGGAGGTGGGAAGGAAGCAAGGTCAAGAAGAATGAATGCCAGATACTGTGGTGAAAATGCTTTATCTGTGTTACCTCAATTATTATAGTAACCCTACAGATATGGAAACTAAAGTTACGGGTGTTCAAATGACTTGCCTGGTGTCACAAAGATGGCAGATGGTTGAGTCAACATCCAAACCCAGGTCTTTCTCACTCTAAAATTCAAGGTCTTCCTATCATAGCTGGCTTCCTTATGGGTTAGGACTTCCTGAAGTCAGCCAGAAAGAACTCTGGGGAATGGAGATGTGTTTGCTTGGGATGACCTAAAGCTTGGGGCAAGATTCTTGTAAGGCCATGTAGGGAAATATTTTCATTCCTCATGGAGAACAGACAGGCTGACCTGGTATGAATAGTTTAGGAAACTAAGCAGAATTTTACAAAAATAGCTGCATCCTTGCCTATTCATGATTTCTTTCCTTCTAAAAATATGGAAGGGACATCAAGACACTGGGCTTTCATGTACACAGCAAGTGTGTAACACGTGGTGATTTCTTTCAGGTGATCACTTCTCTGGCCCCCTGGGAATATAATTTGCGCATCCCAGTAAAAGATGTTAATTAGGCCAAAAACTGTAATCACTCTAGAAAAAATCATGCCCCCAACTTTGAGGACCTGCTAGCAGCTTTAGAAGAAATAGCCATGGGCTACAATGACTACAGTGGAGATGTGTAGCTAACCCTGTGGTGCTCGTTGGCAGGGGAGAAGGCAGAACACTGGAGACATGTAAGAACCACTAAGGAAGTCAGGGAGTGCCTCAGACACTCATAAAGAAGAAAGGGCTCCATCAACTTTGAAGGCTCATGAACACTACTAGTTAAGGGTGTAAAGTGAATTTCACTATAATAGAACAAAGGCTGTCGATGTAGTAAAACTGGATATTAGAATAGATAAGAACTAGTTCATATTCACAACTAACACCATATACTGTTATAATTATACATAGCCAATGGTTTTACTCAAAGAAAATAAATGTGATGTGATAGGAAATTTATATAAATATGTAAGATCATTTTCTAGGATCCACCAGCGAATTATCAAATAGGAAATGAAGAAACAGTTTACAGAGGAGGAAAAAGGAATTAATGCATAGAAAAGTCTATAGCCTCATAAAACTAAACACACACACACACACACGAGTACTAGTATTCCTGTATTATTTCTTATAACTCCATGTGAATCTACAATTATATGAATAAACTTTTCTATTTAGAAAAGTCTACAGCCCAGGGCGCCTGGGTGGCTCAGTCGTTAAGCATTTGCCTTCGGCTCAGGTCATGATCCCAGGGTTCCGGGATCGAGCCTGGGTCTGGCTCCCTGCTCGGCGGGAAGCCTGCTTCTCCTCTCCCACTCCCCCTGCTTGTGTTCCCTCTCTTGCTGTCTTTCTCTGTCAAATAAATAAATAAAATCTTAAAAAAAAGAGAGAAAAGTCTACAGCCTCAATAGTAATTAAATGAATGCAAATCAAAACAAAATTAAGTTCTGGTTACATAACATGGATTCCAGAGCCAATGAAAAATGTTGGCAGGGGCTCCTGGCTGGCTCTTGATCTTGGGGTTGTGAGTTCAAGCCCCATGCTGGGTGTAGAGATTACTTAAAAATAAAATATATTTTTTTAAATGTTGCAAAAAAGATGGGAAACATGTTACACTCTTACATTGTTAATAACATTGCAAGTCAGTTCAATCAGTTCTGAAACAATCAGAGTTTTGAATTTTCTTCAGTTAGAATTTTGTATAGGTCATTGTGCAGTTCTTTTTCCTTGGATTTTTTAATTTTGAAAATCCTGCATGCTTCTTTTAATATGGGAAAGAAAGGGAAGATAAGAGAGTAATGAGAACTATCCGTACTTAACACTCATTTTTCTGTAAATTCAAAACTGATCAAAATAAGTCTATTAATTTAAAAAGAAAGACGAATGCCTGGGTGGCTCAGTCGGTTGAGCGTGTGCCTCAGCTCAGGTCATGATCCCAGAGTTCAGGGATCGAGTCCTGCATGGGGTTCCTTGCTCAGCAGGAACCTGCTTTTCCCTCTGCCTGCCACTCCCCCTGCTTGTGCTCTCTCTCTCTCTCTGACAAATAAATAAATAAAATCTTAAAAAAATAAAAATAAAAAAAGAAAGAAAAAAGGAAGAAGCTATGAATACACGAAAAGTCATTGAACTGTATGGTTTAAATTGGGGAACTGTATGGTATATTAGTTACATCCCAATAAAGCTGCTTTCTTTAATAAGTAAAAGGACATGAAATGTGTATTTTGTAGTTCCTAAAGCAACCACAAAATAAAATATAAAAAGATATAGTGAAAATTATAACAAGTAAATTAAAATGCAGTACTAAAACAGGTTCAAATAACACAAAAGAGGAAACAGAGAACTGAAAAATAGGAAAAGCAGAAGACTAATAATAAAATGATAGATGTAAATCCAAATATATCAACATTTAGTGTAAATGACCTAAATACAAAACAAAAGAGGGATTATCAGAGTAGTAGAGCAAATTGCTGGCATCTCTATTGTAGAGTGGGAATTCCAAGGTTTGGGTTCCTCATCTGTGACACAAACCCATCATAGGTGCAACATGCATCTGGGTCACCCCATATCATTCCCATGGGACTTGGGGGCAAGCAAACGATGTGAACATAAAGCTCATGAGCCTTGTGTTTTGCCAACATGAATGAAACTATGGCAGGTGGATCTGTTAGCTTGTTAGAGGAGTGGCATTTCAGACCCTCCACAGTTTATTACTGTGAGGTTTATGGCAGGAATGCAAGGCTGGTTCAATGTTCAGAAATCAATCCATCTAATCAACCATATCAATTGCTTAAGGGAGAAAAACTACACAATAATAGAAATCCAGGGAGAAAAACTACACAATAATAGAAATCCGTGCAGAAAAAGCATTGGACAAAACAAAGCACTCACTCATAACACACACTCTCAGCAAACTAGGACGATACATCATCCTCAACCTGAGACGATGTATCTACAAAAACCTACAGTTAAATATCAGCTCGGCCTGTGTCCAAGGTAGACCAGAAGTGACCTCACTGAAGAAGGGCAGGATTTGGTGGTGGATGAATTCCCAGCCTCCTGGCCCCTGGCCCGTGGTGGGAGGATTCTGAGCGGGTCTGCACACTCTCAGAGTGCCCGGCACCACAGACTCCCCATTGCCACGGCGGGGACCTGCTCCTTGACCCCCTTGGCCCTCGCTCCGTTCCCGGGATGGCCTCACAGATGATCCTACCCTCGCCTGGGGTCCGCTTCGGGAGGAACCAATCCCGCACCCCCTCTCCGTCCAGGGCTCAGTGAAGAGCGAGTCTCCTCCCTACTTGCAGCTCAGTCTGCACGTCCACCTCTCCGTCTCCCTCTCCAGCGCCTTCCAGCGCGTCTGGGTCTTGGTCTTTCTCGTTTGGAGACTCCGGCAGAGTGACCGGACCCGCCACCGACCACACTGCGGCCAGCGCGGCGAGCCCTGCAAAAGCGTCAGCCGCGGGCGTCGCCGGCTCCTCCGGGCCGCAGGGGGCGCTGTGGGGCGGGGGCAGGCTCGAGTCCCAGCGTGCACCGCGTGGGGGCTGGGCCTGCGGGGTGGGCGGGGTGGGAGGCCGCGCGCCGAGGGAGGTTCCGCGGGGTCGGCCGGGCGCTCGGGGTCTCTGGGGCTGGGGCCGGGCCCTGGGCAGGGGCCGGGCGGGAGCGCGAAGGGCCATGGCCGAGCCGGCTTCGGTAAGAGGGACCGTGGAGGATGCGGGCTGTGTAGAAATTCGTCCCTGCCGCGGTCTGGAGTGGGGTCCCGAGTCGGGGAGTGAGGCGGCGGGGGGCTGTCGGTGACCCATGACTGAGCTCCGAGCCCCTGGCCGGTGAAGGCGCCGTGTGGGTGCTCCAGTTGTTCTGCAGCTGAGCCGGAAGAAGGGGGCCAAGTGGAGAAATCCAGGGTCTCTACCGGTCGTCCCCTCAGGTCACCCGCTTTTTCCCGCCCTGTGTCGGGGCTCTTTGAACGTCGTGGTTTCCCTTGGGCTCTCGTTCTGTGCTCTGCTGGTGAATGTGGCCTCAGCGAACGTCAACTGGATAAACGGATGAAAAAAGTCAGGGGAAGGGAGAGTGGGCCTGAGAGGACCCGGAGACCGCTGCCTCTAGGAAATGAGAGAAAATGTGAAACCAGTTGGGGTTGTTCATGGAAAATGTGAACACTGGTTTTAGAGTTTGAAACGCATATCCTGAGCTTAATCCAGGAAACTGTTAAATTCAGTTGAGTGTAATCTGCTTACCTATGCAAGTTTTCCTTCTACCCTTCCTGAAATTTCATATCTAATAATCCTACCAAAGTAATGCATTTTCCCTTCTGCTTCTCACCCCCTCCTGAAACCGGTACAGGATACAGGGAACCTTTCTGGACTGTACTATCTTTGCAACTTCGTATGAGTCTGTAATTATTCCAAAATAAAAAGTTTTTTTAAAAGTCTTGCATAGCGGGGCGCCTGGGTGGCTCAGTTGGTTGGGCGACTGCCTTCGGCTCAGGTCATGATCCCGGGGTCCTGGGATCGAGTCCCGCATCGGGCTCCCTGCTCTGTGGGGAGCCTGCTTCTCCCTCTCCATCTGCCTGCTTCTAAGGGCGCCTGGGTGGCTCAGTTGGTTAGCAACTGCCTTCGGCTCAGGTCATGATCCTGGAGTCCCGGGATCGAGTCCCGCATCGGGCTCCCTGCTCGGCGGGAAGCCTGCTTCTCCCTCTGACCCTCCCCGCTCTCATGTACTCTCTCTCATTCTCGCTCTCTCAAATAAATAAATAAATCTTAAAAAAAAAAAAAAAAAGTCTTGCATAGCAATAACTGCTTGCTGCTAAGTGAAGGATCCCTCTCTAGATGGTACATGTGCTCAAAGGTCTGCTAGTCATTCATTCACTATGTGGGTCCAACAGACTTCTGTGACCCCTTTATTACATTGTTCATGGCACCATCCAGAGAGAAGGAGACTTTAGTATAGTTTCTTCTTGTCTCTTAAAGACATGGACGTTGGAAGACAGTAGCTTGAAAGTGAAAATGTATGTATGTACGGTTTGTGATTCCAGGTAAGGATGACATTTGATGATGTGGCCTTGTATTTTTCGGAGCAAGAGTGGGAGATCCTGGAGAAGTGGCAGAAGGAAATGTATCAGCAAGTGATGAAGAGCAATTATGAGACTCTTGATTCCCTGGGTAAGCTGGGCTTCAAGGGAATCATTTGGGGGGAACCTGCCTAATACCAATAGGATTTCTGCTCTGTATTAGCTATTGGCTGGCTGAATATAATTCTATGCTTAATTTACACTCAGAATCTGTCCTTAACTTCCTATTGTGGCCTGGGAATATTTAACTTGTCCCTTTTTATCTAGTGGTCTCTGCACCCCTCAGTCTTATCAATTCTGCAGTCTCTTTCACACAAACCCTCCCTTGTTTCTCCTACAGTTAAAATTACTAAATAATCAATTCGTCTCTCTCTCTCTCTTTTTTAAGTGTACTCTTTTTTTTTTCTGTCAAAGTTTAATACTATATTTTGATTAAACTGAAGAATGTTCATAAGCTCTAAGTACACTTAGCTTTAAGTTTATACATTTTAAACAAGAGAGGTGAGGTAAAGTACACTTTTTATTCTGCATAGTTAATGTACAAAATATCCCCACTTCCCTCGAGAAACACTATCATATCTAAAACACACTTCGATGAACACTGAATATTAAAACATTTTATGATACTATATAAATTAACTAGAAGTGAACACAAATACATACTCTTCAATTTTCAATATGCTAACAATATATCACATTGATAATATGAAGAAAAATATGTGGATTTATTTTTAAATTCAAAATTCTTCTGGTTGTTCATCATGGAGGGGCCTTAGAGTTGAAAAGGTAATCAAGTTACCACCAAAGGAAATGTGTCTGTCATGATCTTGATGTCTCCTCTCCACCTGAGTAAATGTATTAGTGCAGTTTAGGCCTGGTGAATCAAGAAGATGGCATTCAGTAGTGAGACTTTTAATATCAAATACTGACTGAGAAATTTTAGTCTTCTCTTCCTGTAAGATGTCATTTTGTGATGGTATATTTTCAGGGCTGCTCATCAAAACATCCTGTGCTGTAACTAAAGAATGTAGTTCCATTCCTTCTACAATATCTGGAATTTCTTCCTTTTTATTAGTATTACTATCATCTGCCACTTCACCAGCAAGTAGAGGCAAATTCATTCTTTACTCTTTTATTTTTTTAACTGATACTCTGATGCCTGCTTATGTTGCCTAAATAGGATGAATTTTCTATCCTCATAAGACCTGGGAAAATTGTTCCCTGGTAGAGGGAGCAAGAGCAGTGGGGATAGGACATTTAGGTATCCCCAGAGAAATACTCAGGGAGCAGATTTGAAGAGAAATTTGTGGAGATTATACCTTGCTGTTTATCCAACTTGCTTGAATTCATTCTTGTATCATTAAAACCATTTCTACTGTTTTCATTTTAATAGCTGATCTCAGTATAACCTGTGGCATCTCTCCTTTGGGGTTTATAAACCTCTTCCATCTGAGATATGAAGGACAAGATGAGTCTATTGTGTGAAATCGGAAGAGAATTCTTTTTTTTTTTTTTTTTAAGATTTTATTTATTTATTTGAGAGAGAGAATGAGAGAAAGCACATGAGAGGGGGGAGGGTCAGAGGGAGAAGCAGACTCCCTGCCGAGCAGGGAGCCCGATGCGGGACTCGATCCCGGGACTCCAGGATCATGACCTGAGCCGAAGGCAGTCGCTCAACCAACTGAGCCACCCAGGCGCCCCTCGGAAGAGAATTCTAAGCAGAGGAAGGACTAGTGCAGAAGTTCAGGGGTTGGAATGTATGTGCTCAGTGTGTGGTGGGAGCCACGGGGAGGCTGCTGGAGCACATGTGTAGAAGGCTAGGAGAAGGGGACGGTGGTATAACAAATGAGAAAAGGGCCTCTAGGATTTTATTCTAGACGAAAGGAAGATAAGATGATGAGAGGATTTACACAGGAGTAACATGTCAAAATTTGTTTTAACAATTAATTACTTGGGGGCGCCTGGGTGGCTCAGTCGTTAAGCGTCTGCCTTCAGCTCGGGTCATGATCCCAGCGTCCTGGGATAGAGCCCCACATCGGGCCCCCTGCTCGGCGGGAAACCTGCTTCTCCCTCTCCCACTCCCCCTGCTTGTGTTCCCTCTTTCGCTGTGTTTCTCACTGTCAAATAGATAAAATCTTTAAAAAAAAAAAAGTTACTTGAATTGCTATGTGGAGAATGAATGGCAGTGCACAGCAATGAAAAGAAGGACACCAGCCAAGAATCTCAGCAGGGAGGCGCCTGGGTGGCTCAGTTGTTGCGCGTCTGCCTTCGTCTCGGGTCATGATCCCAGGGTCCTGGGATGGAGTCCCGCGTTGGGCTTTCTGCTCAGTGGGAAGTCTGCTTCTCCCTCTCCCACTCCCCCTGCTTGTATTCCCTCTCTCGCTGTGTCTCTCTCTGTCAAATAAATAAAATCTTAAAAAAAAAAAAGAATCTCAGCAGGGCAGGTGAGGCTTTATGGCAGCTGAACCAGGTAGTTAGTAATGCAAAGAGAAGTAGATGGGCTCTAGATATCTTTTGGAGGTAGCATTTGAGAGTTTGCTGGTGGATTGGATATGGAGCCTCAGGGTGAAAGAAAAATCAACTAGATTTTTGGCTCAAGTATGTTGAAGGCAATGGCTTTATTCACTGACAGGACGAAGCTTGGGGAGAGAGCCTTAAATTTGAGATGCCTATTAGATATTTATATGGAAATACATATAATTGGGTATGCGAGACCAGAATTTCAAGTGAAGATCAGGACTGGATTCACAAATCTGGTGTTTTATTTTTTATTTTTATTTATTTATTTTTTTAAAAGATTTTATTTATTTATTTGACAGAGAGAGAGATAGCGAGAGCAGGAACACAAGCAGGGGGAGTGGGAGAGGGAGAAGCAGGCTTCCTGCTGAGCAGAGAGCCCGATGTGGGACTCGATCCCAGGACCCTGGGATCATGACCTGAGCCGAAGGCAGACGCTTAACGACTGAGCCACCCAGGCACCCCAAATCTGGTGTTTTAAACCTGAGGGCTACATGGGATCATCTAGGGAGAAATGTAGATAGGACAGAGCACCGGGACACCTCAACTTTTGGAGTTCAGGCTAAGTAGTCTGAGGCCAGTAAGTTACAAGAAACTAGAGCCATGTGCTAATCCAGTGTTGAGTTTGGAGTTACAATAACTAGTGTCCGTGGGCTTGGAAAATCCAGTCTGATTTTCCCACATTTTAAAACCCAAAGGGCATTATTTACAAATACTTTTCTTTTTTTTTAAGATTTTATTTATTTATTTTTTGAGAGAGAGAGAGCACAAGCAGAGGGGAGGGGCAGAGGGAGAGGGAGAAGCAGACTCCCCACTGAGTGGGGAGCCCGATGCAGGACTCGATCCTGGACCCTGGGATCATGACCTGAGCTGAAGGCAGATGTTTAACAGACTGAGCCACCCAGGCATGCTACAAATGATTTTCTTTACAGGACATCCAGATACCAGCCCCAGAGATTAGGATTCAGCAGGTCCAGCCTCAGGCCCAGGAATCTACATTTTTAACGCTACTACATAGTATCCGTTGCATCTTCTAAAATCACCCCATTGCCTTACAACCACCCTCCTTCCCTTCATGCTTATGTCATTAGACACATTACTCTCTCCCCCTTCATAATCGTTGTCATTGAAGAACTTCCTGGTTCCTTCACTGTACCTCAGTAGTTAATTTCCTTGGATGTCTAGTCAGAGGTGTTTAGTGATCGGGGGCTCCCTTCTTGACCCCCTGTGATTTTGCTTTTTATTGTTCTCATAATGATCGTTTGTTAATGCTTTCTGCCCAGATCTGTTGTTAAAAATCATCACCCTTCGGCGCCTGGGTGGCTCAGTCGTTAAGTGTCTGCCTTCAGCTCAGGTCATGATCCCAGGGTCCTGGGATCGAGTCCCACATCCGGCTCCCTGCTCGGCGGGAAGCCTGCTTCTCCCTCTCCCGCTCCCCCTGCTTGTGTTCCCTCTCTTGCTGTCTCTCTCTCTGTTAACAAATAAATAAAATCTTAAAAAAAAAAAAATCATCGCCCTTAACTTCTCTGTTTCCTTTAATTTTGTGAAATATTGCAGAGGACGTTTAAGCTAAAGAGTTTTGGTTAGGTTATATTTTATTGTCATTCATGTAATTTCAAGGGTTTCAATTTTTTTGACCTAACTTTGATGATGTATCTTCAGGAATCAAAGTTAACTGTGAAAATCACGTTTAGTGAAGTACTCAGGTAAATCCAGACTGAGTCTATGTGGTCTCTCTTTGCAGGTGGCGTTTTTTCCAAGCCAGATTTGATCTCCTGGATAGAACAAGGGAGAATGCTGTTAATCAGAGACCAGGGACCCTTGGAGAAAAACATGACACTTAGCCCTTCTACTGATGAGCAGTGGGACTTGCAGAAGACTGGAAAGTTGGCGTATTTTGGTGAGTATGATGGATTTAGGGTCAGGACTCATTTCATTTTCCTGAATCTTTCTGGATAGGCAGCTGGACATAGCGAATAAGAAACATTGTTTTGTTGGAGAATGTTAGGTTTTTTTATTCAAGTGGGAAACAAACATAAGAATGTATTACTTTTTATAAAGAGGGAAGTTGTTTATGTTTTATTAAAAAAAAAAAAATTATGACCCTAGAAAGAAGTATTTGTAAAAGAGCAAGTAAAGGATCCTCTTGTCAAGTCCTGAGGAACAACCACCTTCTCCATCACACCATTGTGTCCATTTGAATAGAGAGAAATGGAAAACTGTCCAATTTGGTATAACGTATTATTTTTTATTATACAGATTTTTAGAACTTGGGCTTTTTTTTTAAGTTCCTTTTGAAGGATTCCTTTTTGAATTCCTTTTATCATAAGAAAAGCATTGGAAACACTTTATAACACTTTAAATACTTAAAGGAATAGGTCATTTTTTAGACTATGCTAATGTTTTATTAAATGGAGATCTTCTAAGTCCCTGGAAGTCAAAGGATTCTCCTGAAGAGGAGGGGATTTGAACCCAGGGATGTATGGTTAGGTCCATCAAAAGAATAAAAGAATTCCCAAGGACTTTATTTCATTGCCACCGTCTCTTATTTCATTAATCTAATGAGTATTGAGTCCCTACCATGTTCATAGGACTGTCAGTTATTACTTAGGCTGGGGATGGGATGGAGAGATCTATATATCTATATGTATATTCTCCTATAGGAGTTTATTGTCTTACTGACCTGACATGGCAGTTAAGTTAGTCGATTATATTGAACTGTTGGACTAGTCATATATAAAATGGGACTGTATACAATTTAATAAAATAGTAAGTGGCAGTGGTAGTAGTGCTATAGGGATTTAGAGAATGAGTGGAGTAGAGATAGCAGTTTCCCGGGAGGACTTCTAAGGAATTAGGATTTAAATAGCAAAGAATGGGCAGATTTGGTTAGACAGAGATCAGCAGGGGTCACACATGAGCTGAGGCTCAGAGGTGGGAACAAGCCTATTGTATTTAGAAAATGTATAGCTTAATGTTATTCTTGGGATGATATGGGAGATGGAGAAGGGGAAACATAAATTAATGCCAGTTTATCTGAGGCTAGGAATGCCAAGGTGGAAGTTTGACTTCATCCTATAGAAAGGGAGGACCTGGAAAGGTTTCTGAATAACAACGAATGGACAACTTTAGTGGCTATCCCTAGAAAGTAATGTTCCCTTCGTGCCAGGTGGCATTCACCCAGTAATCACAACTGCTTCTCTGCCTGGCATAAATAGTAAGTGATAAGAAATAGGATTCAAGGAGACAGGTAAGTATGATCTAGACATCAGCTGTGGAGCGCTAACTTACTAAATGACATCACCCGGTTGGAAACATAACCTGTGTTGTTGTTAAGATGACCACAGAGCATAATCAGAGTCCTTCTCTGGGGACAGGCCCACCCTTCCTGACAGGTGAATTTTCCTCCTGTGTTAAGAGACTTAAAAAAGGAGAACCCCAGGACCCAGTTCAACAGGTGGGAGAAAAAGCAGTTCTGAGATATAGAGGCTCCAGTGAGCATCTGAAATTGTTCTCTCCAGTTTTTGTGGGTGAGAATAAGGTGCTAACTCAGCTCCCCGTTTCCTGTCCTCGTGGCTTTTACTTTGGGAACAGCACTGACTGTGCTTATATTAATACCTTTCTTATAATGCAGAGTTCTTGGAAAAGGGAATTATCTCCATAGTGTTCTTTGTGAATTTAGTCAATTGCCATTTGACATTCCTAAGAAAGATACCTATTAGCATTTCTTCCAGAAAGCTTTTCCTGAAATCTGTGGTAGAAGGGGCAAGAATATGACCCAAAGCCTTATTTAACAGATTTAAGGAAATAGAATGGTCATATTCTCAGACTAACTCATCTTTATTTTCTTTCAACTTCTGCTTACCCTCTGAGGGTCATCCATAAGTTCACAAGATATATTTGCCTGCAATTTTTTTTCCCCACACTAAGCCATTTCTTAACACATAACAGAAGGATTTACATATCAAAGTTAAATATAATTTACCTGTGGCAGGCAGATGCACAGAGTCATCAAAATCAATCAGATTCCTTTTCCTGTGCTGTTAGAGATGTGAACACAATTCTTGACCCCACCATAGCACAGACACATTACTGGTAAGGGTGGGTCTTCTTTTTTTCTCTCCAGGTGACCAAGGAACTCTCAGGGCAAAAGAGGAGGAAGGCCATTTAAATGGTCTCCTAAAGCAGGGTTCATGTGCTACCTTACCAGGGGAGGAAAGAAAGATCTTATCAGATCAAAGAGCCGCCTTACAGCATCCAAGTCTCCAAGAAATAGGGATTGTACATAAAAACCTCGACCTTAGAGCATCTAATCAGGATAAGAGCAATCCATGGCATAAGCTGGTAGATACTCCAGGTCACTTGGAAATTCCACCAGGACCAAGATTTTATTCCTGCTTTGTCTGTGGGAAGGTCTTTCAGCTAAAAAGGGACTTGGTAAAGCACAAAAGAAACCACGCTAAGAGCCAGCCCTGTAAATATTCAAAGCACAAAAACAAATCCAGAGGGAACCCTGAACTCAGGTGGAACCGGATGATCCTGTGTAAGAAGAAGCGTTTCCAGTGTGGCAAGTGTGAGAAGAGCTACTATCTCAAATGCAGCCTGATCACTCACCACCAGGTTGTTCACACGGGGCAGCGGCCCTTTCCGTGCCCTGAATGTGACAAGACCTTCCAGTGTAAAGCCACATTGAAGAAGCATCTGTGTTTGCACAAAAGGGAGAAACCATTTTCCTGTGAGCAGTGTGGCAAGGGTTTCACCGAGCAATGCAAGCTCACTGAGCACCTCAGGGTGCACACTGGGGAGAAGCCTTTCCAATGTCCAGAGTGCAACAGAAGCTTCCGCCAGCAGAGGAGTTTGAAGGCCCATCTTTGCCAACACAATGAGAAGAAGCCCTTCCATTGTCCAGAATGTGGCAGAAGCTTCTCCCGGAAGGCTGCCGTGAAGGCCCACCAGAGGATACACAGTGGAGAGAAGCCGTTTTCTTGTGACGAATGTGGTAGGAAATTCACACACAAGACGAAACTCACTGAACATATCAGAGTTCATACGGGAGAGAAGCCCTTCCAGTGTCCCGAGTGTAAGAAAAGTTTCCGCCTAAAGAGGAGCCTAAAAGCCCATCTGTTTCAGCACAGTGGGAAGAAACCCTTCCAGTGTCCAGAGTGTGACAGGAGCTTCTCTTGGAAGAATGCCATGAAGGCCCACCAGCGTTTACATAGTGAGGAGAAGCCATTCTCCTGTGGGGAGTGTGGCAAGAGGTTCACCCGGCCCTCTAAGCTCACTCGCCATAGCAGAGTCCACAACAGGCAAAAGGAATTCTCCTGTGACGAGTGCAAAAAGACCTTTCCTCGGCAGTCGAGGCTCACGGAGCACCTCAAGGTCCACACCAAAGAAAAGCCATTCTCCTGTTCTGAGTGCAGCCGGAGCTTCAGCCGACACTCGCACCTCACTGAGCACATGAGACTTCACAGTGGGGAGGAGCCTTTCCAGTGTCCTGAGTGTGACAAGAGCTTTTTCTGGAAGGCCTCCATGAAATTCCACCAGCGGATACACAGGGGCGAGAAGCCCTTTGCATGTGGCGAGTGTGGTAAGACCTATACTCAGCAGTCTCAGCTCACTGAACATAAGAGAATCCACAGTGGAGAGAAACCCTTCCAGTGTCCCGAGTGCAATAAAAGTTTCCGTCTCAAAGGAAATTTGAAGAGCCACCTGCTCCAGCACAGTGACAAAAAGCCATTCTCCTGTGTTAAATGTGGCAAAAGTTTCACTCAGCAGTACAGGCTCACTGAACACGTTCGAGTCCACAGTGGTGAGAAGCCCTTCCAGTGTCCCGAGTGTGACAAGAGCTACTGCATAAGGGGAAGTTTGAAGGTCCACTTGCATACGCATAGTGGAGAGAAGCCCTTCAGGTGCTCTGAATGTGGCAAGGGGTTCCTCCAGAAGAGAAGTTTGAAGACCCATCTGCACCATCACAGAGGGGAGAGGCCTTTTTCTTGTGATGAGTGTGGAAGGAGCTTTACGTACATGGGGGCACTCAACACCCATGTTGCGGTACATGCCAGGGAAAAGCCCTTCAGTGTCTAGGTCAAGCCGCGCAGAAAGGAAGTGGCGACAGCTTTTAGGCGGAGCTAGCAGCTCTTGGATCCATGGCATAAGCTGGATAAGGAATTCACAAAACGCTGACCTCAGATACACTGGCCAGCTGCAGAGCAGGCAGGGCGGCATGACGGCTCCTTCACGAAGATTCCAAATAATCCAGACATAAAAAAAGAGGCATCTCCCCTCTGTAGTCCCCATGGGCAAGGCCTGCCAGTCATGGAAGGAACATTTTCTTTCTGCTCCCTATTACCAGGCCTCCTTATTTAAATTTGTATTGAGATTTTCAGTTTTCTCATAGTGAATTTTCATTTTCTCTCACGTGGTGAGAGAGCATCCGCGTCTCAGGAGGATTTCTCTCTATTGCCAAAAATAAATGTCATCTACCATCTCCTTTGTTAACAATGGCGCACATAAGTGTCATTTCCCTCTGGATTAATTTAAATCATCTAAAAGCCCACCATTGTGAGTAACAAGCAATGACTTGTATCTAACCTCTCTGCATTTCAATAGTGTATGTCAATTCTCCAAGAAACATACTTGCCTTAATATTGGGGTCTCTTAGGTAAATACCAAAGGAAAAAATACTGCCAGTCCAAGACATCACTGCATTTTTTGTTCTGTGGCTTAATCTATCATTATAAGGTGATTTTCCAGCCTGTTCTAGCAAACCTTATCTGTCTCTTGGACTGTCAATCTTTTAACATCATTCCTACAAAAACGTATAGATTTAGTTCCTTAGGGAATCCTTGGGGTCTATGTAAATTTTCCATTTTTGTAGTACATGGTGCTCGTGGATTACCTGAATCAGCTGGATCCAAGGGCACCCTACAAATCAGTGTTTATACAAAAAGGATAAGTGCCACCTCTGGTAGGTGCAAGCCTCTCGGTGAGTCAGTGTGCCTTTGTGCAAAGAAAAAGACACTTTCCCTAACCTGTGCCGGGGTGCGTGTGGGCTGGATGTCAACCTTGGCTGGCCTCTTCAGCAGCGTACCTCAGGACAAGTTAGTTATACTAACTAGTTATACTAATTAATCCCCAAAGCTGTAAATCTGATAACGATCCTGGGTTTTCCTACACCCAACCTGTCTCCTAAATTCCTCCCAAACGCCCTTCTTTATCTCTACCATCACCACTAACTTAAGCCAACTTCTAAAAAATTTTAGTGTTTTTATTAATGGTTTTTTCCTGCAGTGCATTCATCACCCTTGTAACAGATTGGTCTTCCTAAAATGCAACTCTGTCATTCTCAAAAAATATTTTTAGAAGTCTCCGATTTTATTATAAATGGAAACTCTAACATGACGTTAGGAAAAAACCTCCGAGCTGACCCAGACCTGCCTTTTCAGCTTAAGCTTGTTACTTATTCACCATATGAACCTGACTCTTACCAAATGACTCTTATCTTTCCCAAGTGCATCATATTCTCATGACTGCTCCCTTATCTTCCTAACTCCTTGTTCCACCATTCAGTCTCAACACCGGGAACATTTGAGGTATGTGCACAATGTCAGCACATCCTCTAAATACCTTTCTCTGATAGCACTCTTTGCATTCAGCTGTAACCTGCTTGCTTCCCTCATAGACTGAACCCCTGCCAGGACAGGGATTTGATCTTGCTTTTGCATTTTCTCCATCCAGATCAAGCTGTTCTGTGGCTTAATACTTGGATCTGTGATATACCCACTAACACAGGGCGGGCTAGGGGTGAAGGAGCACTGAACTACATAGGACTTGATTATGGACTTGAGGGTTCTAGGGAATCAGGTAGACACAACTGCGAAACAGCTAGACAGGAATAGTTGGATGTGCACATGTTCTCACATATACACAGAAACTCTACCCGCCCCCTTCTAAATGATCCTGTAGACTGTAATTCCAAAACCCATCGAGATCTAAGTTTAAGTGAGCCAACAAAACAAAATCAGAAGATGAATTCATTCCATATAAATTTAAAGATTTTTATTTATTTGACAGAGAGACACAGTGAGAGCAGGAACACAAGCAGGGGGAGTGGGAGAGGGAGAAGCAGGCATCCCCCCCGAGGAGGGAGCCTGATGCGGGCTCGATCCCAGGACCCTGGGATCATGACGTGAGCCGAAGGCAGACGCTTAAAGACTGAGCCACCCAGGCGCCCACTCCATATGAATTTAATAGAGACAGGGGCGCCTGGATGGCTTAGTTGGTTAGGCGACTGCCTTCGGCTCAGGTCATGATCCTGGAGTGCCTGGATCGAGTCCCACATCGGGCTCCCTGCTCGGCAGGGAGTCTGCTTCTCCCTCTGACCTTCCCGACCCTCCCGACCCTCCCCCCTGTCATGCTCTCTCTCTCTCAGTCTCTCTCTCTCAAATAAATAAATAAAATCTTAAAATAATAATAATAATAATAGAGACATCTGGAAGATATCTTAAAATCAGTACATTTCATTCACCAAAATATAAATGAATTCTAACATTTAAAAATACTAGGAAATAAAAAATGAAGAGATATACAAACAAGTGGATATGAAAAAGAACCTTGGAAATGAGAAAATAAAGTTACTGACTGAACTAACATCCTGAATAGAATAAGCTTTAGGAATCTACCCAGAATGAAGTAGAGAGATAAATATGAATAATAAAAGTACGAAAGCAGTGAGGATACATAGAGAATTGATTGAGAGCTTCTAATATATAACTAACGGTTCCAGAAGGAAAAAAATAATAAAGGGAGTGTCTGAGGGTGCCTGGGTGGCTCAGTTGGTTAAGCGACTGCCTTCAGCTCAGGTTGTGATCCTGGAGTCCCAGGATTGAGTCCCACATCGGGCTCCCTGCTCAGTGGGGAGTCTGCTTCTCCCTCTGACCCTCTCCCCTCTCATGCTCTCACTCTCTCTCTCTCAAATAAATAAATAAAATCTTTAAAAAAATAAAATAAAGGGAGTGTATGAGTAGCAATACCTGAAAATGGCTGAGAGGTTTCCAAAGTTCTCCATTGAAAAGTGCACTTCCATTACATAGGAAGATGGTAAAAATTAGTCCACACCTAGCAATGATGGTGAAACTAGCTTCAAGAATAAGGAGAAAAATCGGGGCACCTGGATGGCTCAGTCAAACATCTGCCTTCGGCTTAAGTCATGATCTCAAGATCCTGGGATCGAGCCCCATGTCAGGCTCCCTGCTCAGCGGGGAGTCTGCTCCTTCCCCCTGCTCATGCTCTCTCTCTCTCTCTCTCTCAAATAAATAAATCTTTAAAAAGAATAAGGAGAAAAACATGAAGGGCATGGAGAATGTGGGGGGATTGTAGGTATGTTTATTATCTTGATTTTGAGGATGGTTTTGTGAACTTATACATGTCAAAACTTAACAAATTATAAGTTTTAAATATATACAGTTTATGATATGTCAATTGTACCTCAATGAAGCTGTTAAAATAAATCAAGATCAATCACTAATTCGTTAATATATAGTTTCTAAAACAGCTGAAGAAAAAAGGAATAAAAATAATATCCAGGGTGATTAAAATAACTAGTTAATTACATAGAAGACTGTCAGATATTTTAAAACTTCATACTTACTATATAAAGTTTACGGTAGAGATGACTACAAACAGTAAAGAATGAAAATAAAATGATGGAAAAAGATTTACTGAATGAAGTAGTGAAACTACAATGAGAATGAGTTAGAGTTCATGGCAAAGTCCATAAAAGTCCACTAAGATTTAAGAATCATGAACTTGTTTAAAAAGAAAAGGAAAAAAAAAACCACACGAACCTAACAATGTGGATTTGTAATATGAAAAGCAAAAGTTATGGGGCACCTGGGTGGCTTAGTTGGTTAGGTGTCCGCCTTCAGCTCAGGTCATGATCCCAGGATCCTGGGGTCAAGCCCCACCTCTGCTCAGAGGTGAATCTGCTTCTCCCTCTCCCTCTGTGAGCTCTCTCACTTTCGCTCACTTTCAAATAAATAAAATATTAAAAAAAAGCAAAAGTTACAAAATGACCAAAATAAACATACCATAATTTTAGTTTGATAGCATACCTTTCATAAATGTGTGCATCAAGCAGACAATAAACTTAGTAACCATTAATAATCTGATGTGAACAGCAAAAAATTTACTAGTTTTGCCCAATAGAAAGCCTTGTATAGGAAATAACATTGGTTTTAAACACAGAGGACTTACAAAAATTAACAATGTAATAGGTACAATGAAGTCTCAGCATATTTTTAAAAGTCCATTTCATCGTGATCAAATTTCTCCTACCATGAACTGTTAACTTAGGAATAAGAAAGAAAACTTTAAACTAAAAACAAAATTTCCTAGGCTTAGAAACTTTAAAAATACACTCCTAAGGAACTCATAGGTTAAAGAGGAAATCACAGTGCAATTGTAGAATAAACATTAGAAGTTATATATTACCGTATTTGTGAACTGAAGTTAGAATGACAAATCGTGCGTGTGTGTGTGTGTGTGTGTATACATACATATTGTAAAATTTTTTGAAAACAGTTTCATAGTCAAAACGCTAGGACAAAGGGAGTTCAATGAACTCTGCCTCTGGAGATAGCCAGCTAATCCTTTCTCTGATGCTCCTGTAGTGCTTCATACTTTCCTCTGTTAATAGTTTTATTGAATATTGTTTTGACATTGTTTTCTTACAAGCCTGTGTCCCTCCCCATGAGATGGCAAAACTCAGTGATGACTTGATTAATTTATTTACATGTACCTTGCAATCAAAGATATTCAGAAGGTGTGGGGCACCTGGGTGGCTCAGTTGGTTAAGTGTCTGTCTTCGGCTCGGGTCATGATCCCAGGGTCCTGGGATTGAGCCCCACATTGGGCTCCCTGCTCAGCGGGAAGCCTGCTTCTCCTTCTCCTACTCCCCCTGCTTGTGTTCCCTCTTGCTGTATCTCTCTCTGTCAAATGAATAAATTTTAAAAAAAGATTCAGAAGGTGTAAAGAATGTTCACCTGTGAGCCATTGGCTCAGCTTGAGTAGTAAGTCATTCATTAGTAGTACAGATCTGTGACTTACAGTGGGGTTACGTCCCAGTAAACCCATCGTAAGTTGAAAATACCATTTAAAACACCTAAACCGGGGCGCCTGGGTGACTCAGTCGGTTAAGCGTCTGCCTTCGGCTCAGGTCATGGTCCCAGGGTCCTGGGATCGAGCCCCACATCGGGCTCCTAGCTTGGTGGGGAGCCTGCTTCTCCCTCTCCTTCCTCTGCCTGCCACTCCCCCTGCTTATGCACACTCTCTCTCTCTCTCTGTCAAATAAATAAAATCTTTTTGAAAAAAAGTAAAATAAAACACCTAAACCTACTGAGCATCATAGCTTAACCCAGCCTACCTTGAATGTGTTCAAAGCGCTTACATTAACCTACAGTTGGGCAAAACACCGAACACAAAGTCTATTTTATAATAAAGTGTTGACTGTCTCATGTAATGTATTGAATATTGTACTGAAATTGACAAACAATGGCTCTGTGAGTGCTGATGGTTGTAAGCCTATCGGGTTTTGCCCCTTGTGATCGCATGGCTGATTGGGAACTGCAGCTGCCCAGCATCACGAGAGAGGATCCTCCAGCATTCACCAGCCCAGGAAAAGATCAAAATTCAAAATATAGTTTCTACCAAATGCACATTGCTTTCACACCATTGTAAAGCTGAGAAATCATAAGTGGTAGCATCACAAATCGGGAACCATCTGTACTGGTTTCAGTCCTCTCCTCACCACCTCTTCCCCATTCCACCTCCCAGAGATAACTGCTATCCCATTGAGTATTCCTCTACATGTCTGTATGCTTTTCCTACATATGTAATATTCCTAAACATAGTGCTATTTTATATGTTCTAAAGTTTCTGTAAGAGGTACCATACTGTATGTAATCTGCAACATGCCTTTTCACTCAACATTGTGTTGATGCTATTCATGTGTGCTGTTTTTAGCTACAGTTCATTAGTTTTTGCTGCTAGTTTTCAATGTATGGGGAAAAAAACCCCACAAGATACCCATCCTCTGGGTGACAGACATTTAAATTGCTTACCTGTTTTTGCTCTTAAAACAATGCTGCTATAGAGATTCTTAAGTATGGCTCCCATGTAAATGTGCAAAACTAGCAGCAAGGTAAGACTTGCTGGGTGATAGGATATGCACATCTTTTTAAGCAGATACTGCATTTCCCTGACTAACAAGATGGAACATTTTTGTGTGTTTATTGCCTATTCATTTTTTTCCTCTTTCTGTGAATTTACTGTTCATAATTTTGCACATTTTCCTCCTGGCTAGTCTTTTGATTTTTAGAAGTTATTTATATTCTCTGGATGCTTTTGCTTGTTGGAAATATCTTTTCCCACTCTGACCTAATTTTGGCTATGCTATCGTGTTTTTTGATGTACAAAAATGTTTTAAATCTTAATCTAATTTAATGTATTGGTCTATCCTTAGCACTTTTAAGACTATGTATATGAAAATATTCAAGCAGCATTATTTATGGCCACATTTTTTTAACTGCTCCTAAATATTTCATACTACCCTACCTTCTATGGGCTGAAATGTATTCTCCCAACATTCGTATGTTGAAGTTCTAACCCCCAGTACGTCAGAACAGAACTATATTTGGACATAGGGCCTTTAAAGAGGCAATTTAGGTAAAATGAGGTCATTATGGGTGGGCCCTAGTCCAATGTCAAGAGATTAGGACACAAAACATCTAGCCTGAGGAACAACCTTGGAGGACAGAGGAAGGAGGTGCCCATCTGCAAACCAAGGAGTTCTCAGAGGAAAGCAACACTGCTGACACCTTGATCTCAGACTTCTGGCCTCCAGAACTGTGAGAAAGTTAATTTCTTTAACCTACCCAGTCTGTGGTACTTTGTTATGGCAACCCTAGCAGATTAATACATTGCCTTGAATTACATCCATTTATGAGTATAATTATAAAATTATGAGAAACATGGAAAACTTTGATGTGGTAAGTGAAACAAGAAAAAATGGTGTGTGTCTCAGAACCATATAAAGAGTACATGTCTGTGGACAGAGTGGAAATTTATATGAAGAAATAGAGCATTTACATGAGAGTACCAGAATTATAAACAACTTTTACTTTTTAAATTTGCTTTATTGTTAAATTTCATACTTTTCGATTTTTTTTTTTTTAAACCTTTAAGGTGGGTATAGCAATTACATATATCTCAGCACTTCAACCACCCTGGGTGATTAAAAGTGAAAAACGGGGGTGCCTGGGTGGCTCAGTCGTTAAGCGTCTGCCTTCGGCTCAGGTCATGATCCCAGAGTCCTGGGATCGAGTCCCACATCGGGCTCCCTCTTCCGAGGGAAGCCTGCTTCTCCCTCCCACTCCCGCTTCTTGTGTTCCTGCTCTCGCTATCTCTGTCTCTGTCAAATGAATAAATAAAATCTTAAAAAAAAAAAAAATAAGTGAAAGACGGGGTACATTTAAGGACCATTTCATATTTAGGTTATAATACAATTTCTTTGATTTTATAGACTAAGTCAGGTTCCTAATTTAGGTCCATGGTGTCAGCGATGCCGTGTGTCTGCCTGACTCCCCGAGAATGAATTTCCAGCCTCTCGGTCCCTGGCCCCCGGCGGGAGGATTCTGAGCGGGTCTGCACACTCTCAGAGTGCCCGGCACCACAGACTCCCCATTGCCACGGCGGGGACCTGCTCCTTGACCCCCTTGGCCGGTTCCCCGCCCTCGCTCCGTTCCCGGGATGGCCTCACAGATGATCCTACCCTCGCCTGGGGTCCGCTTCGGGAGGAACCAATCCCGCACCCCCTCTCCGTCCAGGGCTCAGTGAAGAGCGAGTCTCCTCCCTACTTGCAGCTCAGTCTGCACGTCCACCTCTCCGTCTCCCTCTCTCCGGCGCCTTCCAGCGCGTCAGGGTCTCGGTCTTCCCCGTTTGGAGACTCCGGCAGAGCGACAGGACCCGCCACCGACCGCACTGCGGCCAGCGCGGCAGCCCTGCGAAGGCGGTGCCGCGGGCGTCGCTGGCTCCTCCGGGCCGCAGGGGGCGCTGTGGGGCGGGGGCAGGCTCGAGTCCCAGCGTGCACCGCGTGGGGGCTGGCCCTGCGGGGTGGGCGGGGTGGGAGGCCGCGCGCCGAGGAGGTTTCGCGGGGCGGGCACGGCGCTCGGTGTCTCCGGGGCAGCGGCCGGACGGGACCGCGGAGGGCCATGGCCGAGCCGGCTCCGGTAAGAAAGGCTTCCCGCGCGGACGCCCGGATTCCGGGCTCGGGGCGGGGCTCCGGCTTGGCGGGTACCCATCCGGGGTCCTCGCGAGGTGGCAGCAGAGAACGGGTGGAAACGGAGCCTGGAGGTCGCGCGGGGCTCCGAGTGTACGGTCTGGACCCTGGACGGAGCCGGTGACCGCCACTTCTGGGGCTCGTCCGTGGCCGCCCTCGCGAACGAACCGAGCGTGGACCCGGCCTCAGCAGCGGGCCCAGCCTGGGCGGGGGGCGCCCGGGCGCGGCGGGGGCAGGCGAGGGAAAGGAGAGAAATGGGTCTGGTGCCGGCGGTTTGTGTTAGAGCTCAGCCAGTTTACATCACAGTTACTGAACTCAGAACAAGTGTTTGAAAGACAAGATTTTGAGGATTAAAGCGATTGTCTGGCAGCAGCGTGAATAAGGTAATTCAGCTTAACGTGTTACAGTTTGTGTTGAGTGGAAGGAAGGAAGGGAGGTTGGAAGGAATAGAATAGGATATAAAACCCTAAGCAGAGTACACGTTATTTGATTATTTAATGTTTTGTTGTAATCGAGGTTTAGAGGGAATGGCCATTATTTTTTTTTAAATGTCTTATAAACTTTGATTTTGACCATTTTTCCTGATTACTAAACGAATTCATGAGGTTATTAATTTCCAAATAGCGTTAACAGTCTCCGCTAAGAAAATGTAATTTCTAGGATTAAATATTCAAAAGATATGCAACACCTTTATGGGGAAATTATAAATAAATGGGAGATAACCAGGCCTGTAGATGGAAAGACTAAATACAGTAAAAATGATACTTTTCTTCCAACTTAACATATACATTTACTGCAGTTTTATTAAAATGGCAGTAAGACTTTTGTGACTTTAGACAAACAGATTCTAAATTTCATTTGGAAAAATGCCAAAAATATGATTCTGAAAAAAGAACAACGAAAAGGGAATTGCCCTAGCAGATAATGAAACTTATTAGAAGCCCATAGAATTACTACCGTGCTATTTTGTGCAGGGATAGACACACACAGCAGTGAAAACGGAAAGAGAACCCAGATGTAGACTGTACTTTGTTGACGAGTGTCTCCCCAGAATTCATGCCCTTTCTGGAACTTCAGATTGTGACCTTACATGAAGTAAGGTTGTTGCAGATTTAATTGGTTAAGATGAGATCATAGCGGAGTAGGGTAGGTTCTTAATCCAGTGTGACTGTTATCTTTTTAAAAGGAAACACAGAGATCCAGACACACAAAGTTACTGTTACAGTGGAGACAGAGATTGGAGTTATGCAGCTTTAAGTCAAGAAATGCCAGGGATTGCCAGCCAGTAGTAGAACCTAAGGGAAAGGCATGGAACGGCTTCTCCCCTGGAGGCTTCAGAGATAGCATGATCCTGCTGACACCTGGTATCAGACTTCTAGCCACTAGAACTATAAGAGAATAAATTTTTATTGTTTTAAACCACCCAGTTGGGGTACTTTGTTACAGCAGCTTTAGGAAAGTAATACAGAGACTTTCAAAAGCAGTATTGGGACAATTGCCTTTTCCAGTTGGAAAATAACATTAAGGTAGATCACCACTGTGTAACAAAAAAATTACATTACGTTCCAGATAAATTTAAAATCTAAACATGAAAAGTAAAACAAGCCTTTTGGAAAAAAATTTAGAATATCTCTGTAACCTACATATAGAAAAAATGTTTAAAACACAGAAAGCAGGGGCGCCTGGGTGGCTCAGTTGGTTAAACGACTGCCTTCGGCTCAGGTCACGATCCTGGAGTCCCAGGATCGAGCCCCACTTCGGGCTCCCTGCTCGGCAGGGAGTCTGCTTCTCCCTCTGACCCTCCCCCCTCTCATGTTCTCTTTCTCATATTCTCTCTCTCTCTCAAATAAATAAATAAAATCTTTAAAAAAAAACCACAACACAGAAAGCAAAACGACCTAAGATTGATATGTTTGCATCGAAACTGAAAATTTATGTACAATATAAGTATAAATAAAATTAAAAGATAAGACGTACACAAGGAGAAAGTATTTGTAACCTAATATACTCAACAGTTAATCAATACACAAATTACATAAAAGGGGCGCCTGGGTAGCTCAGTCATTAAGCATCTGCATTCCGCTCAGGTCACAAGGGATCAAGCCCTGCATAGGGCTCCCTGCTTGGTGGGGAGTCTGCTTCTCCCTCTCCCACAACCCCCCTGCCTGTGTGCCCTCTCTTGCTGTGTCTCTCTCTGTCAAATAAATAAATAAAATCTTAAAAAAAAAAAGACTTTCTCTCTCTCTCCCTCACCCCACCCTCAAATAAATAAATTTTTTTTTTAATTAAAGAAGTCCTAGAAATGAAATGATAGATGACCCAATAAAAATATGGGCAAAGGATCTGAACAGGTAGTTCAGAGAACTGTAGACAAATGGTCAATGGATAAAAGAATGGATTAAAATTATGACCTGTTCAGACAGTGGAACATGACACAAAAGTATATCAGTTCTGTATGTATCAATATGGACAGATGAAGAGTGAAAAATACAAGCTGCAGTATAATAAAGGATTTGTGCATAAAAAACAAAGTAATATTTATAGTTACTTATGTCTATGTGAGAATTAAAAGCACAAACAGAAGTTACTACATGCACCATAATGTTTGCTTCTTGGAAGAGAAAATAGGACTGAGTATGAGAACAGTATTAAAGAGGGAATGGAGGACTTGAGTTTCATCTGTCATACTCTATTTCATTAAAAGGAAATCTGAAGAAAGATGTTAAATTTGTTAAATCAGTAGTAAATACTAGGATACTTGTTACAATGTTCTCTAATTCTCTGAACCTTAAACTTCTGAAAATTAAAGTAATAACCAATGGAGGCTTTTTGAGCATTTCTTGAAAACATTTTAAAAGTAAGGAATTTAATCAAAAGAAGAGAATGAGTATATTTTAAGCAAAAACATGCATTCATTTCTGCTATAATACATCACATGCATTTCTAAAAATCACAGTGCAATGCAAAATCATGCAATAAAAACCACAGCTTATGGGAGAAAGGGTGTTAGCGCATAACACTCTAAAAGTTTGTCACTGACATGTTTTTGTTTTAATTCAATTTAGTTAATGTATACTGTATTATTAGTTTCAGGGGTAGAATTTAGTGATTCATCACTGACATATAACACCCAGTGCTCATTATTACATCAAGTGCCCTCCTTAATGCCCATCAGCCAGTTACCCCAGCCCTCCACCCACTACCCCTCCAGCAACCCTCTGTTTGCTATAGTTAAGTCTCTTATAGTTTACCTCCCTCTCTGTTTATCTTATTTTTTCTTCCTGTCAGTGACATGTTGAAAAGATAAGAACCCAATAAAAACACAGTTTTATGCATGTTAAATTATTTAAAAATAAGCTATCTTAAAAACTACCTGAAATTGACTTATGGAAGTGGGTGTAAGAAGGGGTAGTGCTTGTGAGTTACTGTGAAGTGAGAGGACCATTATCTGAAATCAGTTGGAAAGTTGTAACACCAGGTGTGGATAGGTAGGGCTCCTAAAACAAGGTAATCTGAGGTACCTGGTAGATTCTCAAAAGGGGGGTGGGGTGGGGTGTGTGTGTGTGTGTGTGTGTGTGTGTTGTATACCCCTACTTGGATCTCTTTGTTCACCTAGTGCAGGTTCTCATCCTTGCTGCTACTGACATTCTCTACTGGATAATACTGTGTTGTGAGGGGCTATCTTGTGCATTGTAGGATGTTTATCAGCATCCTTGGCCTTGACCCACTAGATGCAAGTAGCAGTCCCCACCCAGTCATGACAAAAATGTCTCTAGACATTGCCAAATGTCCGGGGGTGGGGGGGGCTAAAATTGCCCGAAGGTAGAACTGACCTAGAGTTTCTCACAGACAAAATTGCATATAAGCAAGTGTAGAATTTTGTGACAAATTATTCCCTATGTTATCAATCATATTAGAAAAAACGTAGCAAAAACATAGAAATGGCTATTTCATTAAAATAATTTCTGATTTAAATGTAAAGGAATTGGGCGCCTGGGTGGCTCAGTCATTAAGCGTCTGCCTTCGGCTCAGGTCATGATCCCAGGGTCCTGGGATCGAGTCCCACATCGGGCTCCCTGCTCAGCGGGGAGTCTGCTTCTCCCTCTCCCTCTGCCTATCACTCTGCCTACTTGTGCTCTCTCTCTCTCTCAGTCAAATAAATGAAATCTTAAAAA